GGGTTTAAAAAAAAAAAAAAAAAAAAAAAAACCCTAATCTATCCTATTAAAAATCAAAGTAGTGATTTCCCTCTTCTCAGCCTCAGCACAGGACAGGAAGCAGTAACAGCATAATCTGTGTCATCAGCTTTGGGGCCAAAGACTGAGTTCTCAAACTGCAAAATGAATGAGCTCAAAATTCAAGAAACTATGGCCTGGAAGTACCAGTTACCATGGCATTAAGAACCACAGTGGCTCAGCATGTTGAGAAATTCATAGGATACCTTTCCCTCTGTGATGGTTTGAAGGGAAACTGACATTCATATTTCCTAATGGCTTTAGAATAGATGCAATTGAGAATTTGTGTAAAATTGAAACCCAGTGCAGCCTTGGTGGCACACATCTATAATTCTGGCACTCTGGGAGGCTGAGGTAGGAGGCTCACAAGGTTGAGCCCAGGGATGGACCTTGTCTCAAAATTTAAAACATAAAATAAAACCAAATAGATTGGGGATGTAGCACAGTGCTAAGGTCTGAAGTGTAATCAGGTACTGCAGATGATGATGATGATGATGATGATGATGATTGTCATAGGGTGTTGGCAAGGGAATACATTTAATATAGGACATATAATTTATAAGATTATTCTATGGTATTAACCCAAAAAGTCAAATATGTAGAAGTGCAAGAGATTAACCACTCACCAGAGACCCAAAGAATCCAGCCAAGGGCCTGGATCGCTCAGCAGTTGTCCCACACAAGTCCAGTTAGTGGCCTACATCCCACGGAGATGTCTCATGCTTGTCCGTATTAAGGCTCTGCACCCAGAAGGCACAAAGGCCAGTGGTGGAAACCAGAAAGTCTGCACAAGTTGGGTGAAGAATATGTGCCACCAGGCTGAGGGATCTACATTGGAGTGAGGAAGCAATCGATGCTCACAGTGAAGATCAGAGCTCCCCTGATGAGAACAGCAGCTATTCCCAGCAACAGTGAGGCCCTGAGCTCCTCCTCTGAGGAAAACAGCCAAGTTGCATCAGGAAAACCAGCGGCAGCAAGCTTCTCCTAGAAAGTCAAGAGCCCCTAATCTTCCCCTCCAATTCTCTTTTTATGCTATTGGCAATAATCCTCAGGTGGGTCTTCCATGCCCAGATCACACTGATTCAGTTCAGCTGGGTATATTACAAGTTGACCATTAGTTAATCCACCACAACGATTTAAGTAAAGAAAGGATCTCCAACCCATCCCCCTGTTTCTAACATTAATGGTCATGCAAATTAGTTCACTTTTCTCAATTAGCTTATTGTTATCTATTTAAGAATGAGGTCATCTGCTGTTTGTTCTTTACTGTTAAATATCGTGAATTATGTTAACATACTCCTGAGAGCTGAGCAATATTTTTGAGTATTTTTTGATATGCAGCAGAATTCAATTGTCTAATAGTTTATTCAGGACTTAGGCTGCGGAGTGGCTACGTGAAGTTGGCTCTGGATGCCTGTGTGTTTTCTGTGTCTTCATCATGCCTAGATATGAGGCTGATTCCACTGTCACAACATGAAAGGAAAACTTTTCTTATTCTTCATAGAGCAGACAAAAATTAACTGGAATAGAATTGTGATATGCCATTGTTATTTGCAGGCTTCAAGGTATTGATTTATACAACTAGATAGGCTTACAGATGCAGTGGAATACACATGCAATGCCAGCTACCCTGGAGGCTGAAGCAGGAGAATAGCAAATTTTAGGCCAGCCTGAGAAAATCAGCGAGACCTTCTCTCAAAATAAAATGCAAAATGGCCCAGGGGATGTGGGTCAGTGGCAGAGCGCTTCCCTTGTACATATAAGGCCTTAGATTCAATCACCAGTACTTCAAAAACACAAAACAAATAATGATTTCAAAAACCATGTAGGATTAAAGCCATGTACAAGAGCATTCTTTAATAACTTTCTCGATTTCCTTCATAGTTATTTGCACATTAAGAGGTTCTACATTTTCTTCAGTTTTGACACTTTACGATATCTTGGAGGATTATCTATTTTATACATAATATAAGATGCATTTGCTAAATATTCAAATGCTTTACCTTTTTAGAATATATTAATTGGTCTGTATCTGAGATCTTGGCCTCATTTTTACTTCTCACATGATGTGTCTTTTCTCTCTGCTTCTTCAGGCGGCTCAGTAATTTATTTATTTTAAAGATAGCTTATCTTTTTATTTCGTAATTTCTTAACTTTATCTTTTATCAGTCTTGATAAAAGATGAAACTCCTATTTCCCTTTCTTTTGTTTCTTATTAGTTCTGTTTTGAATACGTACTTTATTTTCATTTGTTTTCATTAAATTATGATAGAGGTTAAAGTTTTGGGGAGCATTTCCCCTCCAAGTCCAGTTTTGTGGGCAGATTATATTTTGCTGTGCTGTGCCTTCATGTTATTGTTCTCTTTCTCTAATGAGTACCATGCAGTAGAAAAGCACCTTCTGACTGTCTCTTTATGGGCACACACAGAACTAGGTGGCAACTGCCCCCATACCAAGACATGTTTCATCCCTCACGAAGTACAGAGCACTTGGCTTCTCTCCTGCTTCCTGAAAATTCTGCTCTATCCTTTTGTGATTACTGTGTGCATTTTGCATTTCAAACCTACTGTGTAGGCGTTATAGTATTTGCACTCTTTTGGGCATAAGTGTCATTGTGTAATTCAAAAGCTGGAACAAATGTGGGCCCAGGGAGCGATATTAAGGAGGCCCTCTTTCTCAGGCTGGTGCCCCGGCCTAGAGTGACTGCACCTAGCACAGGAGTGAGTGCCTCCTTAAATTTGCTTCTTGGATGCCACTCCCTCACCTTAGCTTTGCCCTAGACATGACTTAGTCTTACTCCCACCCACAGTCACTCCACCCCTTCATCTGGAAATATTTCAAGGAGAGTTCCAAAGATTATTTTAGAACAACAGTTAAAGAATACCCTGAGTCCCAGAATGCTGAGAATTTTTTGAGAGCACTAAGTTATATAATGATGTATTTAAAACACGAACTTAGCTGAGAACAGAATTTTTGTTTCACAGTTTTTCTTTGTCAAAAGAATATTGACTATCTTCTAGTCTCTTTTGATGTTTAACATGTTGAGGAAGTTGGTCATCCCATTAAATTTAGTAGAAGTATGTTTAGACAAGTGCTATAAGAGTCTGTCTTCCCTGGAATTGCCTCCTTTCACTAAGGTGTTCCAAAGGGTTAATTGTCTTGAATATCTTGCATAATTTGCTTTTCAGCTCTTGGTCTTAGAGTTTCTTTAAAATTTTGTTTTAGTTACTGATTCTCAATTTGTTGTTTCCTTTACTCGGAATGCTTCGTCTAGTTGCTGGTCTAGTAGAACCTTTGCTGTTCATCTTCTCTCCCTTACCTCTTAGGGCTTTTGTTCTGCCTCTACGTGGACTTTTTACTGGAAGGAGGAGCACAGTCACTTTCCAATGTC